CTTTGGATTCTGCCAAAAATTGGTCGGGAATAAATACGCCCAAATCTGTGCTTAATGGACTTAATCATCGTTGAAGAATATCCTTAGGGCAAATCCATGACTTGTAGCCTTCAAAATAATAATAAAAAAAAGGTCGTTCGTCCCCCAAAAAATACGAAAATGACATCCGAAAATAAATTGGCCCAAACCGGTGCTTTATGCACTTATCATCCGTGGAGTATAGGATCAATAGACTTTATTATCAGTGGAGAATAGCCTCAGACTGATTCTAGGATTTGTAGCCTCTACAATCGAAAGAAAATGTGATTTCAGAAAAATCGGCTGAAATCTGTAATGGTACCACTTTGGAATTGCCAAAAATTGAACCGGAATAAATCCTCCCAAATCGGTGCTTAATATGCTCAATAATCGTTGAAAATTAGCCTCAGCATAATCTGTGACATGTAGCTATAAAAATCCAAAGAAAATGGTCTTTCGTCACCCAAAAAATTACGTAAATGCCATCACAAAATAAATTGGCCCAGACAGGTGGTTAATGCACTTATCATCCGTGGATATTAGGATCAATAGACTTCATTATGGGTGGAGAATAGCTTCGGCTTTATTCCGTGATCTGTAGCCTCAAGAATCATAAGAAAATGGTATTTCGGAAAAATCGCCTGAAATCCGTGATGGTACCTCTTTGGAATTGCCAAAAATTGACCCGGAATAAATCCTCCCAAATTAGTGCTTAATAGACTCAGTAATCATTGAAAAATAGCCTCAGGCCTAATCTGTGACATGTAGCCTTCAAAATCCAAAGAAAATAACCTTTCGTCGCCTAAAAATTTACGAAAATGCCATCAGAAAATAACTTGGCTCAAACAGGTGGTTAATGCACTTATCATCCGTGGATATTAGGATCAATAGACTTCATTATCGATGGAAAATAGCTTCGGCCTTATTCTGTGATCTGTAGCCTCTCGAATAGAAAGAAAATGGCATTTCGGATAAATCGGCCGAAATCTGTGATGGTACCCCTTTGGAATCTGCCCAAAATTGACCCGGAATAAATCCGCCCAAATCGGTGCTTAATGGACTCGATCATCATTGGAGAATAGCCTCAGGCCGAATCCGTGATCTGTAGCCTTCAATATCCAAAGAAAATGGCCTTTTTCGCCCAAGAAATTACGAAAATGCCATCCGAAAATAAATTGGCCCAATCCGGTGCTTAATACACTTAGCATCCGTGAAGAATAGGATCAATAGAGTTTATTATCGGTGTAGAATAGCCTCATCCTGATTCCGTAATAAGTAGCCTCCATAATGGAAATGAAATGGCATGTCTAAACAATCGCCTGAAATCTATGATGGTACCCGCTTTGGAATCTGCCAAAAATAGACCAGGAATAATCGAAAGAAAATGGCATTTCGGAAATGAACTTCGCCCGAAAATTGTGATGGTACCCCTTTGAATCCGCCAAAAATTTGTCGGGAATAAATCCGCCCAAATCGGTGCTTAATGGACTTAGTCATTGTTGAAGAATAGCCTTAGGCCGAATCTGTGACCTGTATCCTTCAAAATCCAAAGAAAATGGTATTTCATCGCCAAAAAATTAAGAAATTTTCATCCGAAAATAAATTGGCCCAAACCGGTGCTTAATACACTTATCATCCGTAGAGAATAGGATCAATAGACTTTATTATTGGTGGAGAATATCCTCGGCTTGATTCTATGATATGTAGCCTCGAGAATCGAAAAGAAATGGCATTTCGGAAAATCGCCCTGAAATCTGTGATGGTACCCCTTTGGAATCTGCCAAAAATTGACCAGGAATAATTACGCCCAAATCGGTGCTTAATGGACTTAATAACTGTTCAAGAATAGTTTCAAGGCGAATCCGTGACTAGTAGCCTTCAAAATTCAAAGTAAATGGCCTTTCGTCGCCCAAAAAATTACGAAATGCCATCCGAAAATAGATTGACACAAACTTGTGCTTCATGCACTTATCATCCGTGGAGAATAGGATCAATAGAACTTCATTATCAGTAGAGAATAGACTCGGCCTGATTCCTTGATCTGTATACTCAAGAATCGAAAGAAAATGAAATTTTAGAAAAAATGCTCGAAATCAGTGATGGTAAACCTTTGGAATCTGCCAAAAATTAGCCCGGAATAAATCTGTCCAAATCGGTGATTAATTGACTTAATCATCGTTCAAGAATAGCTTCAAACTGAATTCGTGACCAGTAGCATTCAAAATTCAAAGAAAATGGTATTTCGTTGCACAAAGAGTTACGAAAATGCCATCCATAATTAAATTGGCCCAAATCGGTGCTTAATGCATTAATCATCCGCGAAGAATAGGATCAATAGAGTTCATTATCGGTGGAGAATAGCATCGGCCTAATTTAGTGATTTGTAGTCTCCAGATTGAAAGAAAATGGTATTTCGAAAAAAATCGCCGAATTCTGTGATGGAACCCTTTGGAACTGCCAAAAATTGACCCAGAATAAATCCGCCCGAATCGGTGCTTAATGGACTTAATCATCATTGAAGAATAGCCTCAGGCCGAATCCGTGACCTGTAGCCTTCAAAATCCTAAGAAAATGGCATTTCGTCTCCCAAAAAATTACGAAAATGTCATAAGAAAATAAATTGGTCCAAAGCGTCGCTCAATGCCCTTATCATCCATGGAGATTAGGATCAATAGACTTCATTATTTGTGGAGAATAGCCTCGGCCTAATTCTGTGATCTATAGCCTCTAGAATCGAAATAAAATGGTATTTCAGAAAAATCGCCTGAAATATGTGATGGTACCCCTTTGGAAACTGCCAATAATTGGTCCGGAATAAATCCGCCCAAATCGGTGCTTAATGGACTTTATCATCGTTGAAGAATAGCTTTAAGCTGAATTCGTGACTTGTAACCTTCAAAATTCAAAGAAAATGGCCTTTCGTCGCACAAAAATTACGAAAATGTCATCCAGAAATAAATTGGCCCAAACCGGTGCTTAATGCATTAATCATCTGCAAAGAATAGGATTAATAGACTTCATTATCGGTGGAGAATAGCCTCGGCCTGATTTCGTGATCTGTAGTCTCCAGAATTGAAAGAAAATGGTATTTCGAAAAAAAATCGTCGAAATCTGTGATGGTAACCCTTTGGAACTGCCAAAAATTGACCTGGAATAAATCCGCCCAAACCGGTGCTTAATGGACTAACTCATCATTTGAAGAATAGCCTCAGGCCGAATCCGTGACCTGTAGCCTTCAAAATCCAAAGAAAATGGCATTTTGTAGTCCAAAAAATTACGAAAATGTCATCAGAAAATATATTGGCCCAAAGTAGTGATGGCAATGGGGCGGGGCGGGGCGGGTACCTCAATTCCCATGTCCCGCCCCACGCTACTACGGGTCGGGGCGGGTAAAACCCGCGTGGGTACGGGTCGGGGCGGGTCGACCCACTCTTACATGTTGTTAAAAAAAATACAAGTAAATTTTACTTTTTACAATAAAACGTAGGGGAAAACACTTTAAGAATGAAAAATATTGATAATAGAATGGATAATTGAGCCTAACAAGTTGAAAGATCGACTCTAACTAGTTGAAGAAGAGTCAAAATAGGAGAAATATGTATATTGTAAGAAATTGAGATAAATGAGTTTAGAACGGGGCGGGTCGGAAGTAAATACCCATGCCCCGCCCCACGCTACTGCGGGTCGGGTAATACCCGCCCCATCACGGGTCAGGTCGGGTAACACCCGTGGGCGGGTTGAAATTGCCATCACTACCCAAAGCGTTGCTTAATGCCCTTATCATCCATGGAAATTAGGATCAATAGACATCATTATTGGTGGAGAATAGCCTCCGCCTAATTCTGTGATCTGTAGCCTCTAGAATCGAAAGAAAATGGCGTTTCGAAAAAATCGCCTGAAATCTGTGATGGTACCCCTTTGGAATCTGCCAATAACTGGTCCGGAATAAATCCGCCCAAATCGATGCTTAATGGACTTAATCATCGCTGAATAATAGCTTCAGGATGAATGTGTGACTTGTAGCCTTCAAAATTCAAAGAAAATGGCTTTTCGTCGCTCAAAAAATTACAAAAATTCCATTCGAAAATAAAGTGGCCCAAACCTGTGCTTAATTCACTTTTCATCCGTGGAGAATAGGATCAATAGACTTCATTATCGGTGGAGAATAGCCTCGGCCTGATTTTGTGATCTATAGCCTCCAGAATCGAAAGAAAATAGCAATTTGGAAAAATCGCCCAAAATATGTGATGGTGCCCCTTTGTAATCTGCCAAGAATTGGCCCTGAATAAATCTGCCCAAATTGGTGATTAATGGACTTAATTATTATTAAAGAATAACTTCAAGAAGAATCTGTGACCTGTAGGCTGTAATCTTCAAAATTCAAAGAAAATGGCATTTCGTCGCCCAAAAAATTACGAAAATGTCATCCGAAAATAAATTGGCCCAAACCGGTGCTTAATGCATTTATCATCCGTGGAGAATAGGATCAATAGACTTCATTATCGGTGGAGAATAGCCTCGACCTCATTCTGTGATCTATAGCCTCCAGAATCGAAAGAAAATGGCATTTCGGAAAAGTCGCCTCCAGACTTCATTACCATCACAGATTTCGGGCGATTATTTTGAAAGACCATTTTTCTTGTATTTTGAAAGCTACACATCACGGATTCGCCCTGAAGCTATTCTCCACCTACAATGAAGTCTATTAATCATCGAGTTGGGTGATTTTTTTCCGGATGTCATTTTTGTAATCTTTTTGGCAATATTTTCAAAATTACATTTTCATTGAAATTTGAATGTTACATATCACAGATTCTACCTAACACTATTTTTCACTCATGATTAAGTTTATTAAACACTGATTTGAACTTATTTTTCTGGGGTCGATTTTTGGCAGATTTCGAATGGGGTACCATCACAGATTTTAGGCGATTTTTTTATAAGATAATTTTCCTTTGATTTTAAAAGTTACAGATCACATGTTCGCTCTGAGAATTTTCTTCACCGATAATAAAGTCTATTAATCGTCGATTTGGACAAATTTTCGGAGGGGATTTTGGTTTGATAATAATCTTCTGTTTTAGGCAAACAAAAGCGTTCAGAAGTTTCTACTTTTAACCATTAAAAACTACACATGAATGCTTCCTCAACGATTTGAGGAAAATAGAAGGGAAACAAATTCACTCCCTAATCATGCAAACCCTCAAAAGTAACAATGTAAAATTATGAGTCAGATTTATTCTTGGCGGGATTTCCTTTAAATCGTGTCCACTAACGTATCACCGAGGAAGGAGGCGGGATTGTTATTATGACCCCAGCTAGGGTGGTCCTTATGGCCGCTGGGTTTTCAGTTCCCGGGTATTAATGACCACATGGTAGTGGAAGTGTTGGTGCTTTTGGAAACTATAATGTGGTGCCTGAATTGGGGTATTACGGAGGTGTGTTTTGATGGCGATGCTAAGGTTATCATTGATAAAATCAACTATGCGGATACTAGTGATAGTCGGATTGGTGCTATTCTTACTGAAGTTGTTCATCACTTTGCTATTCGCTCAGGGTTTAGTGCTCGATTTGTAGGTCGGCCTAATAATATGGTAGCTCATTTGGTGGCTCGAAAAGCCCTCTCTTTGTACCTGATTGCGAGTCGTTTCTTCGATTCCCAGACCTGAGGTTGGCCTAATAGCTCATTTGGTGGCTCGAAAAGCCCTCTCTTTGTACCTGACTGCGAGTCGTTTCTTCGATTCCCAGATCTAACTGTATTCCAGGGTGTAACTATCTTTTGTTTCAATCAATGAAAATTATTTTTTGTAAAAAAAAAAAAAACTGATCGCCACCAACGCCCAAGTGGCGAGGTGGAGGACTGGTGGCGACTATAGTGGGTGCTCGGGGGTTGGTTAAGCAGGCCCACACCACCAACCCAAAAGAAATTACACTCCCTCAACAACCCTGCAGAATTCCAATTCCTTGGTTCACTCACGTACCGAACTTTGCCGCACACCCTTTGACCCTCGCTAGTTAAAATTATTCCTAAGCGCAATGATTCAACGTGTAAAGAGTAAAACTGTAACTGATGACATCATATATGGTAAAAACAGCGGTAAACAGTAATAATAAAATAGTTTTTTTTTTTTGCCATTTAATAAAATAGTAATTGACACATACAATTTTATTTCTGAAACAGGAAAGAGGGCCCATTTCAATTTAAGAAGATAGAAGCAGGGAAGAAGGCCCAATGCCTCTTGGGCTTTAACCTTGGGCCTCCTAAACAAACACTCAAACAGCAAGCTGTAACTAGAAATAGGGATTATTACAACCTTAATAGCCTAACATGTGGCTAACTATGGTTTTCATTTTGATTCAATTGGTTATACATAACTTATAATGACTTAGCTTAGCTTAGCCTTACTAAAGAATAATGCTCTAATAGAGTAAAAAACGGTGCGCAGCACCAAATGAATTGACGGGATACGAAACAACTCTTGAAACTTCAATACCTGGATCAATTTGGTACATAGTATATGATCAGTTAACCAGCTTTAGCAGCAACTTCTTTCTTTGTTACTTCTTCTTGTATTGCCTTCTGCTCCTGCTGCTTCAATGGAGCCGGAATCTTGGACACTTCGATCACGCCGAGATTCTGCCAGCACAAGTTCGAGATCAAAGAGATTACATGGGGGGAGTATCCGATTTCGGTTGATAAACAAATCAATCGGACACATGGAGTTGATGGGGGTGCTATGATGATTCCTACCTTCAGTATGGCCAAAGCTGATTCATCCCGATTCATTGTGTAGAGATGCAGCGTCCTAATCCCATGAGCCATAATCTTCTTGCACATCTCTGTCCCGAGATGAATTCCGTATGCTTTCACAGCTTCATTGTTGTCTTTAATGGGCTCCAGTGCAGCAAGAATATCAGCTGGGATCTACATTCACAGTGTGAAAAGTTTTGCAAGTAACAGATTAGATCCATGACACTATGAAGATTGCCTCTGCTTCACTTGACAGCTATACGAGCAACTTGGCAAGAAGAAGTAAGTACCTTGGTTTTGCATAATCCAGTCATTTTGCGGAATGACCTATAGTTGGTAATAGTCAAAATGCCAGGCACAATTGGGCAAGTGATTCCAATTTGGCGGCAGTCATCGACGAATTTGAGAAAGATATCGGTATCGTAGAACAGCTGAGTGATGATCAGATCTGCTCCAGCGTCAACCTGTGATCAGATAAACATATTAGCTAATCCCCCCAAAGCGATCACAGAGTAGATTGCAAAACAATAGGCACGAGTAGTCTAGCAGTTTTCAATTTTGAACTCCATACATACTCCTCCATGAAAGGTTCTATGAGCACTGCTCGGAATACATATACGGGTGACTTGTAATAAGTAATTAGTAGTTAGGTCGATTTTCCGTCTTCGAACTTCCAAAATCTGGGAAGCTGCAGCTCCTTCTTACCATTCTAAACGTGGTAATTCATCATTATAAGAACTTAGAATAATCACAGCAGAACAAGCTGACCTTCTGCTTCAAATAAGCAAGATCTTTCTGGTAATCTTCCGGCGTGGCTACACCATCATCTCCGATCACATCCGGGTGAGCCTCTGTTTAACAATTGCAGTAAATCACTTAGGAACTAGAAAGGGAAGCCCAAAATTTCCCCCCTGAAAATTGAATCTAAGAAACAAATGAACAGAACAAAGGGGGAAAATGAATACCTGGATAACCAGCAACAGTAATGCCGAAGTAATCCCCATACTTGGACCTCATGTGCTTCACCTGCAAGCACACAACAGAACAAAAACGGATCCATCTCAGTGATTCCGCCATTGACCATTTCCGTAGCGCAATTGCAATATTCAGGCAGAAATTGGATCTCAGATTTCCAATTGCAGGGAGGAAAAGAGACGGAGAGAGTGAGAGGATTCAATACCAGGTCGAGAGCGCTGGAGTATCCGTCCTGGATCTGGACGAACTTGTCCTGGCCGATCGGGGGATCACCGCGGAGGGCGAGAACGTTCTGGACGCCGCCGGATTTGATGGTGTCGAGCGCGCGGTCGATTTCCTCCACCGGCATTTCGGCGCAGGTGAGGTGCATCATGGTCTCGATCCCGATGGAGTTCTGCATCCTGTTGGCGATGTCGAGCGAGACGTCGCCGGAGGAGGCTCGCCAGGTGATGTCGCAGAAGGTCGGGCTGTACGCCACCATGCGCTCTATCAGCTCGAGGACCTTCGCCATGCCTTCCGCCCTCGGCGGGAAGAATTCGAAGGAGAACGCGACGTTGTTGTTGTGGTGGTTCCCGCCGTTCTCCGCTCCGCCATTGGCCTCACCGACAGTCGACCGGATCTTGTCTATTACCTTCATGGCGGCGATGCAGTTGCTTGTTCTGCCTCCCGACGGTAAAAATTACCGGGAATCGAACAAACGAACGAGAAGAGAGAGAGAAGAGGAAAATGCGAGGACGAGACAGGAAGAAATGAAGAAACGGAGACTTGTTAGGGTTTTTAAAGAGAGGAAAGGAATCAGCGTTTCATACATACGCAGGTGTACGGCCACCTTCCCCTTCCGAGTCCGACTCACAACTCAGTTAGTTTAACTGCAGCCCCACGCGGGAAGGGAGAAAATTTTTTTTTGTTGTGTGTTTTTTCAACTAATTTATTATATATGTGTATTTTCGATGCACAATATGATCATTAATCGTACAAAGTAATAGATAAGTGGATTCGAGATAATTTACAAATTTTTTATACGATTTCAATTCTTAAAATTTTACATTACCTGTTTTAGTTTTTGGGGATAAGATTCAATATATTTCTCAAATTTTGATTGCGATGCATTTTCAATTTGAGTTTTGACATTTAGCTTTTCTTCGTTCTCTTTTATCATGTCTTCGTGCTATGCTAAAATAAGACAAGCTCAATGAAACCTATGGTTGAATTTGAATAATGTATCCCCCAATGTTTTGGGGTAGGTGGATGATTTACTTGAAGTAGTCAACATCCTCTAAGACTAAATGAGCGATTAGGCGTTTGGGAAAAAAGGGAAATCACATTTGTATAAAATATATTATTTTTGGGGTAGGTGGATGATTTTTTTAAGTAGTCAACATCCTCCAAGACTAAATGAATGATTATGACTTTGGAAATATGAAGGAAAATCACATTTGTAAAAATATATATTATTTTTAATCATGCGAAAGTCCGCCAAAAACAAAAAAATTCCGATTCATGAACACCGGACAAACTTATGAGAGCAGATTACAGGGGCACGATAATTTTGTTAGTGATCATCACATGATAAATCTGAATTGGCAACTGCTGAGTTTCGAACTTAAATCCTTTTAAAATTAAACATGCGTCTTTATCGGTGTCTGTACCTCTAAAAGTTTATTTGCTTAGATTAAAAGGAAGATATGGTTGGTAAGCAAATGTTAGGTGGGGGGTTGTTTGAGACCTATTTGCATGTTAGTTCTCAAAGTTCCCACATTCTCTAGCTTAATCCTACCTAACCCACTATGATACACGTCGGTCAAAGTTAGGGCCAAGCATCATCTTAGTTCCACTCCAAGTAAAACTAATATCAAAAGACAAATAAATCCTTTTGTTTTCCAAAGAAGACAAATGAGCTCTCCAACTTAGTTGTGCTCCAAAGTATCTGAGACTTCTGAATCATGAGCGGGTCGTCATGGTCTCACATGTTTATAGGGAAGGAAACAAAGCAATCGACTATCTAATTAATGTTGGTCATATAACCTCTCTTTTAGTACACATCATGTCGATGTGTGCAACTCAGATTTACGTAGATGATTGTATTACGACATTATGAGATTCTTGTTACAAATTCCCGAGAACTATAATCGAGTCAAAAGACCTCGGAAAGTGGGAAAGAAATCTCAATCTCGTCTTATTAATGAATGAACCAAAACGCACCTAGCGACTATCTTCTTGCCAAAATGATTGTTTATGACAACTTGTACAATGTAAGAAGTGAGTCATCATAGACACCAAATCACATGGGAAGCTAACACTCCCGACCAATCATAGCCACATTGCGGTTGAGACCACAGAATTTGTCGGCCAACTACAACTAGGACAACCAAGAATTGTATGCATATACATACTTGAAAAAAGAAACCTAATAGTATAAGGGGGAAAAAAACTAATGGATACATAGTTACATACTTGAAAAAGGAAAGCTAATGGAGGCCAAACCAACAACATATCTACAAACTTCTTCCATCAGCAAACTCCAATAACAAGGCCAATTCAAATTGCAACCATCAGGCTAAGGAAATGTGTAAATACAACTGCTGACTGCCACTGCCACTGCCCACTCGTACGGATACAAATGTCTAAGCAAATGTACAGGAGCTAACAGAGTGGAGTTAGAGCAGCTGCCATTCGTCCCCGTCATGTCCCTCGTCGGCACCATCCTCTTCTTGATACGCATCGCTGCTGCTGACGAATGTTTTCTTGTGGGACACGGCGACGGTGAATAACGGCGCGCCATTCGATTCTTCGGCTAGCTTGGATGCCAAGGAACAGAACTCGTCGAAGTCGTCTGTCGATCAGAAACGAGAAAAGGCAATTGAATCACTGAGTTTGGAGAAGCAACGTTCGGAGTAAAGAAGATATGTGGTGCTTGTTTTTCACTGATAAATAAGCAAGAAGACACTACTAGCTATTGGAACAAACCTTTGTCTCGGCAGTAGAACCCGATTGCAAGCGAGGGATCGATTGATTCCAGGGGAATATGCCGTATGACACTGGAAAAACAGAAGCAAAGACGATCATTATTTGTCAAGTTAACATGTCATCATAAGCGTAGGACTAGGTACGAAACACGAGCATGGAACTTACTTGGAATGGTATGATGATGAATCAGCCTCCAGATCATCTTTGCTGATGTTGACTACCTGAAGAACCAAGAGCTTTCTCAGTACAATTATGCACTAATCTTTAAAACTAACGATAACTTTAATAGACGTGCAACTGAAATCCATCAGAAAAAGGAACCTTTTACTTCGATGGCAATAAGCGTACCGAAACAGGAAAGGACAAGGGGGAAAAGACGGAAAACCTTCACCCACCAATATCATTAGAACTAACTCTCTCCGAGAGTTATACTAGGCATCAAGGACAAGAAAGAAAAGGTGGGTTGGAGGGCCGGGTGGAAATGGGACAATATATATAGTGCCAATAAAGATATTTCACAAGCTCAATTACTAATGAAGGGTCCTTAGTTGGGTATGGATATCAAGGGAAAGGGAAATCAACTAAAAGGAAGAAAGTGCTTTACAGGGACGGCGCTGACAACAGAACTGTAATTCTCTACAGAGTGAAATAGTGAAAGGATAACAATCTGGAACTAAATGAGAGATGGAACTTCATTAGACTTTTACAAGCAACAGATGCATATACAAAACATTTCTCATAGTGTCCATCAGCGCTGGAAAGTGGAAACTCATATGAAGGAAACTCCATTCTTAGTGGCCACTTACCTGTTGAACTTCATGTGGATCGAGATAAAATGCATTGTCGTCTTGCACACCAACTATGTACGTTGAAGCACCGGGCTTTCCACCTAAAATGCCAAGGCTTTGAGGAAAGGTGAATGTCGCCTGGAGAGTTGGAATATACCTGACGTAATTTAAACGTTCCAAGTGGTTAACACCTAATCACCTGTGGAACCGCTAAAATAAAAGGGCGACCATAACATAGGAGGTAATCAGGCAATTTGATTAACTACCAAGAATGTTGCATGCTGGATAACCTAAAGAAATTCGAATTGGTTAACATGAATGAAGGTTGCAAAAAGACTTCCCAGCTTTTATTACATTTAATGTATTGACTAGTATACAGCCACAAGTATCCAAAAACATTCAAGCAAAAGAATCAATATGATGTGAGAAGTGTCAATCAAGAGAATGTAAGCTACCTAGAATTTCTCACTTATACAATAGTTCAAATATAGATGACTTGGTAAAATAAAAAAAAAAACCATGCTTCATTCAGCATCACTAAAACATAAACTTTCCATATGACGTTTCCAGAAACATCTTGATGATATCTCCACAAAAATAGAAATAGAGAAAACGATTAGAAAGCATAGCATATGCAAAATCAGACAAATGAGTCACCGATGAGATAATAGAACATATTGTACTTTGGCCCAGGATAATTAACGCAGTCATGTAAAGCAAATCAAAATTTTAGAACACTATTATGGCATAGAGGCTTCTCAGAATACAAACCTGGGGTTTACTTTGTCAAGTCCAAGGACCAGGGGAACTAATAGAATAATCGGGGTCCAGTCTACCTGTCCTTTAGAAAATTCTAAACAACTTCTATGGACATCTTCAATGCAGACAACTGGGGCTCCACCTCGCTCCCCATTTTCATCTCCAGAAACAACATAAAGAGCCATAGGAAATGGGTGGAGCTCATGGACTGTTTCCTCTCTCTTTGAGCGGACTAGAGTTTCCCAGGACCGGCACATAGCATATGGCCCTACCCATGATCCAGCTGCAAGGCCATAAGCCTTTCCAGCTAGAAGAAGATTGTGGATAGAGAATGGTGATGCCTCTGAATCGCCAAAAAGATGCAAGATTGTGATATAGTCTTGATCTTGTGGCTGCAAATGTTGAGAATAAGTGAACATTAGCAAATATAAAGGGCCACATTGTACATAAATTCCTAAGAAATTTGACAGTTAGAGATACAGCAGAATGACAAGGGAAGAAATGGGACGGGAAAGAACTTAACCTTAACCGAACTTCTTCTCCAAGATCTCCCAAATTGATGACAAAGCAATGCCTAAGATTTAAAGACCGATTTAGATTGCAATGACTAAGGATCCAGCAAGATGATAAACAAATTATCATGAAAAGTCAATAAGAATCCAGGAGATGGTGATATACTTGAGCAATCAACATCTGGCTGCTCCGAACCATGCAACCCCAGCCTACATCACTTGTCAATTTTGAATCTCCGATAGCATCAAAACCTGTGGACATAGAGAAGAATAGTACCCTTGATCAATTTAACAAAATCACTGTAGAAGTATATCCACGTATATGCTGAAATAGGCAAGCAATCTACTACGAACCTTTCCTATATGTAACTAGGATTCTAGAAGAGAAATCATGTGTAAATTCAGCTAAAATATTGCTTGTAGCTTCTGCTTCTGCAGGACAATCAGCTGAAATCTTATAGCAAGTACCCAGCAGCCATATATCACTGGTTTGGGTAGGTATCCCAATTTTGGTTGATCCCAGTACCCGCTCGTGGAGTCTCCTCATTGAACCACCAGCCACAACTTTCTTTACAGCTGATGTCCAACCATTACTTCTGTGATGAACCCCCTTCTTTTCACAAGTTGATGATTCACGATGTGACTCAAAGACCGAGAAAGCAGACGAAAAGAAGCTCGACCACAAGGATACCCTCGATAACTTGCGTTCACTGGGACTTTGCTCTGAACAATCAGGCGTTACAGCAGTAGTTGACGACTCGGTAGGCGCTTTTAGACAGAAGTTTGAAGTAACAACCTTCTCGGGAAAACCCTTCATTACCTAGTCATAGCACTGCTTAGATCTATCAAACTGGCTCATTGATGGAACCAAGTTTGACTTCCCACTGTAAAGAATAAAACAACTGCAAGCCTCTGAATCAAAGCATCAGCAACAAGGGATAGATAGAGCTCGATAGTGTACACAAGATGAATGATAGGACAAGTGAGAGAATCAAAGAGCCTATATGGCTATATCTATATATATTCTCTCAGTAAACAATTTCTCGTTTCCAGCAAATGGTGAGCTATGTCCCTATCATTTGCTTTAGGAAAGGGTGGAAGATCAAACTTCAAAAGTTTCCACTTCACTAAGCCAACCATGACCTTCACATAAAGCCTACATGCAGGACGTTAAGATTCACAAACATTCAACTTCATTCCGGAACACTAAGCATCTGACACTACTCTGTTCCTGCAAAATCATCTACTGGTCTACAAGAGAAATAAGCTTCAGCCCCCATATAATGAAATAAATAACACACTAAGCTCTCCACCTCCTGAATCAAGCTTTACATCACCTATAACCACTGCTAATCACTTGCATCGATTCAGCTATACGTTGCTAACCGTAGCCACTTCTCCAAAAGCTCGGCAGGCCAGTTCCAGCGATTCACCTAACCTCAGCCAAAATCCGCTAACTATAACCGAACCCCAACTCTATCACAAATCCTCCAGTGAACTTAGAACTGAATGAATTTCAGGTTTCCAAAAAGAAAATACGCCTAGAGCGAGAAGTGAATCACCAGGCCAATACATAACTCAAATGGCGAAACCCTAGCCAGTCGCAAATCAGCTAAAAAATTCAGCTCAATCCACCACCACCAACAGAACACAACGACGAAGAAGGAGCTCGTAGTTACACAATCAACGCCGCGAATCCCCCCAACCAGATCAAATAGAAACCGCAATCCTACTCAGAAACGAAGTTGCAGCAAAACCGAAAGGAAAACCGATCAAAACAACAGCAGAGGGAAAAGAGAGGGAACTGAAGATCAAACGTACCAGCAAGCGCTGAACGAGAGAGGGTGGGAAAAAGCAACAGCGAGCCAGGAGACGCCAGGGAGGAGAGAGAAAGATTGAAAGGAAGCGAGTTCCGCCCCACGGATGTGTCCGTGTAAGGAGAAAGCAATCTGCGAACGAGGAATCTCCCTGGTCTCGTCCTTTTCCTTTTTTTTGTTTCGTTTCTATTTGTTTTCGTCACTGGACTGGGAGAGAGAGATGGCGTAGGTTGATGGATAATCGATCGGGTGACAGCGTGACGGAGGGGAGAGATCGATTTTTTCTTTCTTTCTTTCTTTTTCCTCTAACAGAAGCAGTGAAGATGGGGTCAATTACGTAAATTGCCATTAAACTTTGACGATACGAGCGAAGTGGTCATCATAGTTTCCCATAATTAACGCAATAGTCACTCTATTTCTTATCACGGGGCCTTTTCATTCTAATCGTTTTTTTCATATCAATGCATTAACACCCCTAATGTATCTATTAGTGAATAAGACTAAAAATACCATCCAACTAGCTATCATAGAGGGGAGGATGGGATTAGGATGGTTTTGAGTTAAAGGGTTTGATTGGAAACACATTAATGGTAAGACGAAATGACGAAGCTAGCTAATAAGGATTGTACGATATTTTCTAATTAGATTGCAATGTATTTTTTATTGTCGAGACTGTTGTAGCCAAAAATATACCCGAGAAGCATGGCGAAGGACGAGAACTACGCATCAAAGGGCTCAAGCACTTGAATCTTGCTTATGTTATTAAACATACCAGGGATATCCCTAGTGAAGGAAGTTAGCCTAAATCAATAATTATCGACTCTAGCAAAGCATATAACAATACGTTGTCCCTGTACTATGGAATAAGATGATACAAGCAGTTATGGCCACAATTGTGACTTTGTATCCCCAAAACTCCATGGAATTCTGTGGTTCAATGTACCACTCTCAGACTTCTTTGGTGATTCAATGACTAGCCACACTCAGGAAGAATGTTTTCGACGAGCTCATGGTGTCACGAAAGGAACTTGGCAGAACCTACATCTGAGTTTTTGCTGCTGAAGTTAAAGCCCATTAGTGGAAGTTTATGGCAAAGATTTGGATTCTGAAGAACACAACGCCTGCAGCATACATATCTCCAACCGAGATAATTGAAGAACGAGTTTCGTACACAGACAAAATCAGAGCATACGGTACTGTTCAAGCATGACTACTCAATGACTCGTGAAGTAGAATCCGATCTTAGGTTGAAAGATGATCACTAAGACAGAAGACAACATCCACCTTCAAACATTATAACACAAGGCCTCTATGTATTCTCATACCCTTACAACTAAAGTGAAGTGCTTTGTAGTATATAGTCATCTGTTTTAACATACTCTGCGAACAATGGAAATCTAATGCCTTATATGGAGCAGGCAGAGGCAACTAGGGACCTGAAGAATTCAGAAACAGCACCACCATGCACCTGTTTTATGCTAATGTCAGAAGCATTTGTCCTTCTACTTGCTGCCAGCCACGGGAAGATACACACCTTCTGCAGCTAACCATATGTTGTCGGCACGCTTTTCTCGAACAGCACAAACCTACAGAAGCACACGTGTGTCAGCAAGCAGAAAGCAAGCAAAACTGAGAACCTAGCACCGCCTTCAATTCATAACTTGGCTTATGGAAATAATACAAGCAGGATGAAAGCTGTAGCAATATATGTATGGCGATGAGATGCTGTATCTTTAATTTGTGGGTGAAAAAGTGAGTCATGGTATGTTACTTGTCGGACTTCAAACCTCTGCTCGGACTAGGAAAAGCAGTCCATGATTCAATGCTGGATTTGCTACTGGAGTAAGTGGCATAATTCCAATATCGACTAAAGTTGTGGAATAAATGCCCAATTAACCATCAAGAGTAGCAGTAGTTCATGAAAGTATGTAAATAATGGCCCACCTCTTGCTGTCCCCCAGCTATTCTCTGGTACTTCTTGTCGTGACTATGTAGGTAGCCACCGGTGTCAACATGATGCAATCGAACTCTTTGATTTTGTTTCCATGTCTTTTCACCACCTTCAATAACAAGTCTAAGGAAAAAGAACAAGATTAGTGCAACTAAACAAAGGCATACTTGACACACAGACGAGAACTTATGTTTGTTTGGTTGCATGTACCTCCAATGGTCTCCTGTATCAGATTCGTTTTCACCACCAAAACAGCTAACCTACAAAAAGCAAGTCTTCCGGATGAGGTTCGCAATGTCATCATCCAGCTACAATGTTACTACTCTAAACAAAGAGCGCAAAAATTACAACTTCCTCAACAAAAGAACATGAAATGTGTAAAAAAATGGAAACTTCAGCAGAAGATATTGGCAGCCACAAGGAATAACAGACCAAAGAAAGCAAAGCCCTTTTGCTTCTACTTTATAACTTAAAAGTTAAAACATATGATGGCTGGTGTCATTCTAATGAATAGCAACCTAGAAATGAGGCTTCATTAGATGAACAAAATCACTTAAACCTACCACTAGTCACTACTTCCCCATATATATACAATATGCAAATTGCAAACAACTTCAGTTACATTGACATAATCAAGTCACTAACCTCAAGGTTGCCAGATATTGGGGAGGCATGCAAATGGCTGTGCATCCATTTTCTAGTTTTCATGTGCTGCAAACGGAATACCGTCCCAGCTGTTATGGTGTCGCCTTGTTTGGCATTAGTGTCTGGCACAGGCCTCACAATCTACAAGAACATAGCCCCAACTTCAACCACTGTTAGAATCCAGAAATGTGACTGAACACCATAGCTAATGTTTATGCATATATAGAGATTGCACACCATAAACTCATTTCACCAAGAGTGATATTTGACTACTAGTGCTCAAACCACTCCAAAGAAAACTGAAGAAAATGAACCGAAATGTGAATTACCAATCTTCTTTGGTTATATCAAGCTAAGAACATCTTCGATCCACAAATGGCCTACATGAATTCCTAACTGTGAATTTGTTCAAGCCATTTTCCTACCATCCAGATGTACACTCTCCTTACTCATAGAATCAAGGCATGAAACTCCTCCCGAGCGAGCGAATTAGCTAAAATTGCTATCACAACAGAAGCATAAGAATAGAGGAAAAGGAACAGAGTGAGTTACCCAATAGCTATTGGAATCATCGACATTAGGGTATCCTGTAACAGATTGCTGCCCACTGCCGGATCCATAAGGCACCTCGTGGGAATGCAGACGGTACTTTGTCTTCTCGTGCATCAACTTCAAAACTGAGCCATACGTAATCTGGCACCATAAACACCACAGATCGACGCTGAGCTAAAAAAAAAAACAATCGAACAAACAAAAAACTTCCCTAACTTCGCTAATTCTCAGCCATGGAAAAATATATACCTCAACCCCTTGAGAAGTCGAGGAAGAAGAAGATGAAGCGGCGGAGGCAGGGGAGAAGGAGGCCTGATCTATATCGAGGTTGAGGAAGAGAAACACTGCGAGACCGAAGCACGCGAGAGCCATGACGAAGAGCAGCCCGATGAACCAATTCTGCTGCCAGAAAGGTACCGGCTCTCTGTCCGCGATTCTTATAGACTGAGGTTTCGAAGACGGCGAATCAACTGAAGAAGAAGACGGCGGCGGCGGCTTTCTTCGCGAGACGGCCGGCGGAGCTGAAGGAGCCACCGTGATTGGAACGGAACCAGACCGAGGAATGGAAGAGCTCGGAGATTTCCACTTGCAGGGGTTTCTCGCCCGATCTTTTAATATTTGGGAGACAGCATGTCGTGAGAAAACTGCTTATGTGGAGTGCAAGCTTGTTGTAGCTACCAATCACGAGATCCCACGTGGACGGATTGACGTAGTTCACCGTCACCCGAACTATGGAATTTTTCCAATAGTAGTCCCTCAAGTATGGAGTTTTCCGACATTGGCCAACGAACTATATTTTCCCGATTCAGTTCTAAACATTTTTTCTATCTAGCCCTCCAGATCAACACTTCGTTAATTTACCGTTAACTATGAGACTTACACGCCGATTGAGTGTCAAATTAGTATTCGAGTCTCGAGTCATCCTTCCTCCTCTCACTCAACCATGGGGGACACCGTTGGTCTGAACTTCAGCCTTCAGGATGTCGTTGACAGTAAGAGTCTTGAACTAGCATGACACCTCAAGCAGAGAAGGTAATTTCAAATGTTGAGAAAATCACGAATTCTAGTAAGTGTCTTTTTAATGAATAAAAAAAAGTAACTGTGAAAATCAAAATGTCCTTTTTACTTTCACTCTGAATGCAAGAAATTTGAAATGGGGTTTCAAGTTTTCTCATTTGGTTTTTATTTATTGTGTATATTAACAAAAGGACAAATCTATAAGAGCATCTCCATCAATGCAATTGCAAAAGAAATTGCATTTGTGTTTTTTATTGTCAACTCAAATTTTTTGCAATCCACATCACATTCATTTCATTCACCTACATCAATGCAATTAACTTGCAATTGCAAATGTAATTAAATATTATGTTTAGATTATAGAAAATTAATTAAAAGAGAAAAGAAAATAATATAAAATAAAAAATCCCCATTTTTAAGACTTGCATATGGAATTGCATTTGTTGCAAACTTGTAAATATGCAATTGATTTTGCAATTGCAAACACCCATACCATGTCATTTTGCAATTGAGAATGGAATACTAATGTGACGCTATGAATCATTGAAGAGAATAGGCACCGAATTTATGTGATAGCCCATACTAACGGCCCAATAAAAATATTTAATTGGGCTTTGTTCAGGGGTAGCCCATAAATTAGCATTTTATCCGGAAACGGGGAAATAAATAAGCGAGAGCCGAGAAGACAGAACTCAAAAACCTATAAAAAATCACTCTCGGAGAGAACTTGCAGCAAAGAGCAAACACTGCACGGGGACGGGAGTTCCAGTGAGCGATCGCCGGCGAAATTGAAAGGGAAAAGAGGAGAACAAGGAGAGAGGAGAACTAGTGCTCATCGGGAATGGCGTCATCGTCGAGCAGCGGGCTGACTTTCAAGCTTCATCCGCTGGTGATGGTCAATATTTCGGATCACTACACCCGCGTCAAGTCGCAGATGAACCCTCCGGTTACGAGCACAAGCTGCTCGAACACCAACGGCAACGGAAACGGCGAAGGAGGCGATTCCGCGGCCGTGAAGGCGCCACCGCCACCGCCGAGAGTGTACGGATGCGTGATCGGAGTTCAGAGGGGACGAACCGTGGAGATCTTCAACAGCTTCGAGCTTCTCTACGACTCCGCCACTGATTCCCTCGACCGTGCTTTCCTCTTGAAGAAGCAGGAGCTCTGTAGGCAACCGATTCCCGGCACCTTTTCCCCACTTCTTTGTGCCGCTTTTTTGGGATGATTTTAGGGTTTCTGTTGTGTGTATTTGGAATTGCTTTGGGTGGAAACGAATCTAATGCTTGTTTCTGTTTCTGTTGCGAGCAGATAAGAAGGTTTTCCCGAACTTCTACGTACTGGGATGGTATTCCACTGGCAGTGATGCGGAAGAATCTGATATGCACATCCATAAAGCTGTAAATTTCATCTCCATTGAATAACTCTTCGCCCAACTCTTTTGTTTGCATCTTTTCTGTGTTTAGCTGACTCTGTGATGGGATATTAGTGCTTATTCTTATGTGTTTTGGCTCAGCAGTAGTGGTAGTGATGTCCAAAGTGTTCAGAATCAATGCATACTTTCTGATAGAACCAGTTGATACTTAAGGTTTCATTTTGCAAATGCAATGTGTAACTGTCTTGATAATAGATTGTGCTTTGTCAGGGTAGTCCTTTGAGGGTTGTTTAGAGATCACTACTGTGCTTCATTATACCGTCTACTTAAGCGTGTTAAGAATTTCAATTCTTGCATGCTGTATTGTTGGAGGGTGCTTTCTTCTTACTTGATGCAAAAACTTTCATTGTTTATTACCTAATGAGAAATTATGCTTTTTTTGTTTGATAAGACCTCCAAGTGTTTGAGAAATAGGTCACATGTTATCTCCTCATTCTTGGTACTCCTGAATTAAAATCCCAGTCATTCATCTTGCTGATCTTTTTGTGATGTTGTAACAGTTGATGGATATCAATGAAAGTCCTGTATATGTCCTACTGAATCCCGCCATAAATCATGCTCAGAAAGATCTTCCTGTGACGATTTACGAAAGTGGTAAGTGATTGGTCTCCTCTTCGTATTGCTAAAGCATGGATTATGGAGATAATTGCAAGTTTTGTCTACTCTGGTAATAAACTTTCTTGCATGAGCAAGCGCATGGAACTCTAGTGTGGAACAGTCTATGCTTTGTTTCTACCCCCACCCGTTGTGAACTTTCAAGTTTACTGATTTTCTGTTTTGCTGATTGTGAATGAATTCAGAGATGCATGTGATTGATGGAATTCCACAACTGATATTTGTCAACTCAAGCTACACTATTGAGGTTTGTCGATCTTCATTTTGTGCTCTGGCTGATGTTATTAACAGCTTGGATTATTAACGAATTGTCTCTGCCATAAAGACTGTAGAAGCTGAAAGGATTTCAGTTGATCATGTTGCACACCTTAAGCCGTCTGATGGAGGCTCTGCAGCCACCCAATGCAAGTTTCTCTGCCCTTGCTGTTTTTTTCTTTCGTTGGTATTGGTCTGGTTTTCTGTTTGGCCAGTTTGCTGATGCATTCTTTTATTGCAGTGGCTGCTCATCTTACCAGCATACACAGTGCCATCAAGATGTTAAATAGCAGAATTAGGGTGCTTCATCACTATCTTGTAGCTATGCAGAAAGGTATTTACATCCTGTTCTCACAGAATAGATTGAATCCATAGGGTTCCTAGTGAGCGAAGATGCTTCATATTAAGCGTTAGAAAACTATCATTACCTGAAATGAGCAACATATCTGGATTCGGATAATTGCGTGCATTTAGGCTGTAATGTTACTGGAATACTATTGCTTTTGAAATGTGTGCAGGGAGAAGAGTCAAAATTTATGGTTATTATATGTTTTAAATGCAGGTGAAATTCCGTACGAAAACTCCTTGCTTCGACAGGTATCAAGCCTTCTGAGAAGATTGCCAGCTATTGAATCTGAAAAGTTTCAAGATGATTTCCTAATGGTGAGTTCTTTCTACATCGTACAAGCACCTTGCCATGATAACTATACTCTCTTAAGACTCCAGTCCATCCATTACTGTATATCATGGGTAGTTAAAAAAACATGCTTATACTCGAGAATGCCTAATCATTGTTTGGTTGGCGAATATGATGAATTGATACTCCGCGTTGTTGGTCTCCCAGGAATACAGCGACACACTGCTGATCACATACCTCGCCATGTTCACCAACTGCTCAAGGTAACAAAGCGATCAAACATATCCCCTGTTGCTTACCCATTTACAATCTTTTTTGTTTCTCGTATTGACAGTACATGTTTGTGGCTTGTTGTTTCGTTGGGGTGGCAGTACAATGAACGAGCTGGTAGAAAAATTCAACACTGCATATGACAGGCACAGTCGAAGGGGTGGACGAACTGCCTTCATCTAATCTTCAGCCTGACCAAGTCTTTTTATTTTGAGAATGGCGACGCTATTTTCTGCTTATCGCCCGCAGCCTGCTGCACCTGGTGGTTCTATTTACGTCTTCCCTCCGCCACATAGAGTTTACAGTAGTTAGGAGTTACCTCTTTTGAAAACGATGCTTCCTGCACTCTAGCTTTCGAAACAAACAGAACCAAATGACACATCGCCTCTTATTTGGTTTTGCCGTAAATTCTGACATGCTCTTCGATTGCCTGTTATTTCGAAATCTAGGGATTTCGTCATCTTTTCCCTTGCATTGAGTGGGATGCTCGCTAGTTAGTCTTTATCCGTGGCACAATCCCTTTAAGGATGCTCACTATAGTATGAATATCAGTATCAAAGTCGATCTAAAATGTTTCACTCGAAATTTGCAGTCCGTTTTGCTGCATTTAAGCAGTATAGCTACAGAATAATTGAACTTATGTCTTTAAGATTTGATCCGTATGTTCCAACTTCGTTACGAAACTCAATCAAAATGTACGGAAGAAAGCACAGGTGCAAATTATTCCCTTAGTACACTCGTATCTCCACATTTCCTCCTCCCTTAAAGGGTGTATAGCTTCTTCTTTAGTACTTCATCATTATACAATACACTTTATAATGATCCCCCTTGCTCCCCTTTCCCCCACCCAAATGAACATGAAAAAGCAAACAAACAATCCGAAGAAAGAAAAGGAAGACAGATCGTTTGTTCGTTCATGGCACGTACATTTCCCAGACACAGAACACAGACAAAGAAAGAAAAGAGATGCTCCTGCTTTAAATAAAAACTTCACGGCTACCTGACTCGTCACTTCGCCCATCCATATGAAAGCTCGAAAGCCATCCCCATTAGAGTACAGAGTTGCCCGTTCTCCTGGACGCGTTACGCTATCAGTCAAACCCCACCCTTCTCCTGCGATGTGATGTGCCAGTGTCATGCGGTGTTAACAGGGACCGGCTTCCCTCGTCCCATGGCAAATCCTCGGGTGCCATCGGGCATCCGGGGACCTGGTGGCGGTGGTTGCTTCACTGTCTGCTCGCACATGGCTGCTGTGCTGCTCGAAGGTGCAGGCCCACCGACATGGTTTGCTCCTCGACCGGTGTTGTGGTGGTGGGAGTGGCCTCGACCGCGTCCCTTGCCCCGTCCCCCTCTGCCCCGGCCTTTTCTCTGTACTGCGTCCTTGTCATTGTTCAGATTGTCCTCCGCCTGCACATCAAGGCCAATGGGGAGTAAGACATCCGGTCTTTCTCTGTTCGTTAAGCAATTCGCTAGGGAAAGAGAAAAAGAAATCACTAGAGGAAGCTAACCCACGGCATATTGGCCAACCTACGTTGAACAGTTGGACTTCACTTCTACCCTAGTGCCATTCCAACTAAACATGGCAGTCAAGTGAACGCTTAGCTGGAATGTATTTATGAACAGTGATCTGATTCAGTTGATTAATTCCGTTTGACCATAAATCTTGGTTGTCTATGAAGATCTGATTCAGTTGATTGCTGACGCTAGAGAGTAGAATATGTCACTAAGATTCAAGAATGGCGAAATCCTAGCACTTACAGGATGGTCATTAACACAGACATCAGGCTGCTGTTTAGGAAGATCCTCGATCGGCTTTTCGTTTGGCTGCTGCTCAGAGGTGGAAGCCTCTTCTTCTTCCTCTAACTGCCCTGGCCCATCAGGACCCTTCTTCCCACGTCCGCCAGCAGCAGGTTTTGACTAGAGTGTAAAGAAAGAACCGTCAATTTCAAGATTCAATAGACTTCAAAGAAAGAAAAATTAAAACCCACTTCATGACTGTTGATACACAAGACAAATAAATGAGCCACTATAATGCAAAGAAGCCTTCAGGGTTTTGGTTACTTGCAAGGAAAGCATGGGTTGAGATATTTCATCCCATTTGTACATGGGATTATGCATACATGAACTCCTTTAAACCCAAGCCACTACATAAACGTAAGACTCAAAACTTCCCTTAAACTATATCTACTACCAAACTAGTAAATACAAGAGGAATAAGCACGGGTTTATTTCCAGATGAATAGTGCAAACAGTCCAGTAGCAAAGTTTAGTTGGAAAAAACTATATATATTCTACATATAAAAGAAGAGACAGAAGAAGAATTTAAGTACTGGGGCTTACTGGACGTTTTAGCATCAGGCGAACTCTAAGACCATTCCTCCAGTTTGCTTCCTCGTTCAGCTCCATAACCTGCAAAGCATTATAAAGCAATTACATAACCTACTAAAGAGACCGAGTAACGAAAAAGATAATAAACTATGGTCAAGGGCTACACTTACCGCTTTCTCAGCTATCTCTATAGAGTCATACTCCACAAATGCATGCAACTGCGCATAATATGAGGATTTTTGAAGTGTTAGATATGGCAATAGCAGTAGGAACAACTAGCAACAGCTTCAAAAATATAGTAATAGAATAAAGCTGCAAATGCGACGATCAAGAAAAGCAGTATCTGAAGCAGAAATTGCCCTTCCTAAGCACCAGGTCCAACTTAAATAATGAGAAGTAGCTATCCAAGCAACTTCTACTGTAGTCAATGCCACTTTTTTTCTGAGCGTCACTGATCATTATTAATTCCCAATACTGGTCACATGTGTGAACTCATTTCCAAACTTTCAAGATTTACAAGGAAGCTGCTCAGACAATATAACAGAAAATTATGCATAAACAAGATCACACCTCATAAGAAAGAGCCAGCAATTTGACAAGTGATCTGAATGTGGCCCTACCTTGTTAGTGAAGTGCATGCCATCGGCTTTTGTAGATCGAGACACTGCCGCAGCCCCAGCACCAGAATTTTGAGGAGGGCAGGTGCGAATTGTTCTAACACTGGTAAAATAAAACCATTGACAGAATTGAATCATCAATAGTGCAATTACAAATATCCACACACAGCCACTATATGCATCATCAAACTAACAACGACTAGTCTAGTACCTTCCAACAGAAGAGAAGATTTTCATCAGATTTTGGTGGCAATGATCCTCGGGTAAATTTTCAGCAACAATAATGCGCGACTGCAAAAGGCACAAGTGTTAGGATAGAATAATAACCACCGCCTCTTGAAACTAAATTAAGAAGCATTGAAATCTAAAAGAAAACTATACACTCTATAAGCAAGGCATATTTAAGAACCTACTTGCAGTTCTTCCATATCAGGCTCAGTAAATGGTTGCTGACGTTTAACTCTTTTCCCATCCTCACTGACAATCTGCAGCGTGTAGCACAAACAATTCAAGGGAATATTATAAAATCCATATAAGTACATTGTAATGATCCATCTCAAAAGGTCACAAAGTGATCCATCAGTTAAAAGAAAAAGGCTTACAAGCTTTGAAGAGTTCCTCAAAATGCTAGCTAGTTGAGAATGACTATTTACTGCAGCTTTGACCTTCTTGAAAGAAGCTACAACAGATAATGGCACTGCAATACAACAGAGTGGGAGTCAGCAACGAATGAAACAAAATTACAGAAAAACCAATCAATCTCCACAAAATTAAACATTTTGTATCATTGAAGCAAGAGTAGATACAGTAGTCAGCGATTTTCTTGACACAGAAGTTAGATAAGGAACCAATTGGTTCCACCTAATGGTCTGAAATATCAATTGGGCTTCAAAGCTGAAAATGAAAAACTGTTTGATTCACAATTTTGAGAATAAAAGGTTTGAGGGGGAAAACCGGTTTGGGCCACTTTAACCTAAAAACATTGTAGAATAGAGATATTTTCTGTTGTGCATAACTAGCTTTATGGGGGGGGGGGGGGGGGGGATCCTTTTTTATCCTTTGACAACTTTAATCCATATATAATAAACTACATGACAAATGTTCTGATAGAATTCGCCCGTGGAGAAAAAATATTTATTACTTGATAGGATAAGATCCACAATTTGGGGCCAAAAGATAACAGTTTTCATTGACAACATGAAACGGGAAAAAGTGAAGGAAAAAAAGCTACTTCAGTAATCAGAGGATTATCGAACAAATAGGGATCGGCTTACATTACAAAAAACAATGACCTAACACGGTGTAAGATCTTTATCTGAAATTGATATCCACTTAAATTGGACAATGTGCAGGAAAACCAAATAGATGTTTTCTTTCCCGGGGAGAGGGGGGAGGGTTTCTTAAATTTAAGCAAAACTTGGTAAAAATGTAAAATGCACACCATTGGGACCCTATGCTATGACACAAGTACACCAAAGACAACGGACCTGACTGGAGCATCTGTACCACTGCCTTGTAACTATTATTAGTAAAAGTTGAAACAAATATCATCCATGTCCAGAAAGGCCTAGACAATACCATGAAAGGAAGAAAGCAACCATCTGGACCTATTTATAGAACTTTAAAATTCTCCATCAATATATATGACTTTAAGGAAGAGTGAGAGAGCTCATAATTTCAGCAACTAATCTATGAAGACTCTATTGTCTCGCAGCTTGTATAAAATAATCCCACTTATCATTCCATGATTAGGAGTGGTCACAAGTGCTTTCAATCCACAACAAAATGGCAAACCTCTAAAGCACAAAATTAGCCATAATACCCTACAGCATAGTTCACATGACATTCTTCAACTAAACACCCCCTCAGTGGCTGTAGACCATCAAGAACAGCAACAAGAGGTGACACTATAATTGATAGCAGAGTGGTTTAGAACACTACAATACTATTCACATACAGTAGAGATATAGTCCCCGAGCGTAAGTTGTAACATAATCAGCTGTATAGGTTAACAAAATTTACCATATCCATCAGGATCCTTGCTAATGAACCTCATCAGATGATCTGTAGTAGCCAAGTTTAAGTCACTGAAGTAGTATTCTACCTGCAATAGCAATTTCAGCAAGGATTAAACAACAGCAAAACCACAATGCTTACATCCATTAGCCATCAGAATAACCTAAGGCACTCACGAGAAGTGATTTTTTCCACCTTTGATGCAACTTCACTAATCAATGGTACAGAGTACCAAAACCTCTGAGGCACAAACTGATACACACATTACAGTTAAGACTACACTAGGCCCAATCAATCGCAGAAGCAGAACCTTGCTGCTCTCTCTAATCTACGGAAAACCATAGAAATGAACCGTTCTGGATGTATTGAAACCCAAATTCGCTTCATGCTACTAGCCTACTACCATCATGGGAAACCGGGAATCAGATTCAAATCGATAACACCAAGAAATGACTCGATTCAGAGACCCACCTGATTCAAAAGCTTCTGCATAGCTTCATCAGAGAGCCCGTTTTTATCGGTCTTCTCGTTCTTGGACCGTCCGTGATCCGCCGGGCCAACCTCATTCTGCTCGCCTTCCTCCGATTGCTGCTGCAACTTCTTCGCGTAATGATGATTCTGATGGTGCTGCTGATTACCGTGTCCCTGTACAGACACATAGTGAGCGTTCTGGCCGAACTGCTGGTGGTGATGGTGATTGTTGTGATTCCGAACCGCAACGAACTGCTGCGGCGGCGGCGGTTGCTGGTGGTGCAGATGATGATTGTGATGGTGATGCGGATGATGATTCTGGACCGGAATCACGTGACCAACGGGCACCGGGCTGTGAATCGGGACGTGGTAAGGAGACGCCGGACCAGCCGCCGCCGTAGGCAGCGGCGGAGACGGTGCAGGCGAGTACATATGCATCATAGCCGCGCCAGGAGGCGGCGGGATCACAGCCAGTCTCGACGGTAGCGGAGGAGACGGAGCAGCAGGAGGAGGCGGTTGCTTACTAGGAACGAACTCGGGAGCTCGCGCGTTGAGTTTACTGAACGATGCATTTCGCGAGAGCGATGGATCCGAAGCCACCGCGGTGGGCGAATCGGTCGGAGAAGCTGCCGGTGGATGCGGAGTTTCTAGGGTTTCCGGCGGCACCGATTCAACTACAGCTTCTTCCGCCATAATTTACCGATACTATAAACTACGTTTTCTTTCCTTTTATTTCCGGGATCGAAAATTGCGGGATTCGCCGCTTCGTGTTTCGCGGCGAGGGGATCTAGGGAGGAGAGGATTCAGCGGGAGGAAGTCGCCGGCGCCGGAAGAAGTGGGGGTGACCGGAATTACAGGGGGACTGTGTAATAAAAGACAGTGGAGAGGATTTCTCGAATTTGGGGGAATGATGATTGCCGTGTATTTATAGTTGGTTGCTGGTTTTGCAACTCTGCCACTCTGATCATCAGAGATGTCGATTGGATGGACGGATGATGATGGATCGTGTGGGCCGGAAGAGTTTTCTGGTTTTATTCAGGCCCTCTGATGATGGATCCAACGCTTACCGTTATTTCATCAAAGACGGATTCATACAAAATTGTTAAAAATCGTTTGCAATTATCGAATCATAGGAGCGAGCAGAATATTATAGGAGCAAGTTTTGAAAATTATAGAGCTAAAGCATAGTCGGTTCAACGGAAATAAGGTGAGTAGCAAGTTTTGGAAAGGGTTAATACCTTATTTTGGTCCGAACTATGACCATATAATCAATTTTGGCCCGTGGTTTCAGAAATTGACATCCTGGCCTCAACTATGCAGCATATAGACTCAATTGGCCCGACACATAGTTTGACCGTCAATTTGGACGCTCAACTCCGTTGACCGTTAGTCAACATTCCATGTCATTTAGGGATGGCAACAAAATCCGAACCCACGGGTACCCACCCGACCCAACCCGGTCAACGCGGGTAAAATCCGTGTTGACGGGTTTTGGGTCGGGTTCGGGTTTAAACCCGCTACACTATTCACCGGGTCGGGTTGGGTTTGGGTTTGATAAACCCGACCCATGGGTACCCGTCCACACACTTATAATTACTTTCTCGGTATATTTAATATTCTAAACAATATATTTTCCTTAAACAATTAATATTCCTTATGTTTGTGGAGACATGTATAATTTGTTATTTCTAATTGTTTAGAATGAAGTTGATATTATGAAGTGGAGAGTGAAGAAACTTAGTCGACGAGGAAGAAACTTTCAATTAATCTTTTGTTTATAGATGTATACCTTTAATTTTGAACAATTTGTATTGATCATTTGCGGTTTGCTTGGTGTTTTTTTGTTTATAGATTGGTGTTTTTTTGTATGATTAATTTGTATGAGAAAATTGATGTTAAACTTTTATTTTGAAAAAAACTTGTTATTGTAAATTTTTTACCACAAAAACCCACTGGTACCCATGAACCCGCAGATACCCAGCGGGTTGGGTTGGGTTTGAGTTTTTCAAACCCAACGGGTTTTACCCCGGGTTTTTTTGACAGATAAACCCATGGGTTTGGGTTTGGGTTTGACAAAACCCGCCCCAACCCGACCCATTGCCATCCCTAATGTCATTGCCTAGTCAGCCTAAAAATCATTAAAAAAATTTAAATTCAAATTATTTTCCTAATTTTTATTATTTATCATTTTCCAATTAACCAAATAATAAATTTCTAAAAATATAAAATAATTTTTTGTGATATTTGAAAATGATAAATTTTATAAATTAACCAAAAATTATCAAATTAAATTTTATAAATTTAAAAATTATTATATAAATTATATTTTTGTGGGAATTTTTAAAAATATAAAATAATTTGATATTTTTTGGTTAATTTATAAAATTTGTCATTTTTAAAATTATCCAAAAAATAAAAAATCAAATTTATTTTATGTTTTTTATAATTTATTTTTGGTTAATTTGATAATAAATACTAAAAATTAGAAAAATAATTTGAAATTTGCATTTTTTTAATGATTTTTAGGCTGACTAGACAATGACATGGCGTGTTGACTAATGGTCAACGGAGTTGACCGTCCAAATTGATGGTCAAACTATGTGTCGGGCCAATTGAGTCTATATGCTGCATAGTTGAGACTAGGATGTTAATTTCTGAAACTACGGGTCAAAGTTGATTATATGGTCATAGTTCGGGCCAAAATAAGGTATTAACCCTTTTGGAAATTACAGAGTTGAAGCAAAGTTGGTTGGACGAAAATAAGGTGAGTGTAAAGTGAAAAAATATTACGCCATATGTATTTTTAAGAATTTGTCTTACGAGTTTTTAGTATCTTTATGAAGTGGTTGTTATTGTTGTTTGTGTTTATGATTGATGATATGTGCTATTATTTGAGCTATGATTTGAAGTAAATGTTTATAAGTTTATTATTTACTTTGAAGTTTTACGTTTATGAGTTATTGTTGAAGTTTAAGAAACAAGTTTTTAAGAAGCACATCACCTTTAAAGAAGGTGAAATAGTTTTAAGAGTTTTTAGTCACTAGCGTCAGTATGTTGCCGTTTGATATTTTAAGATAGCTAGGGGATAAATTGTGCAGCCATTATGCTCTTGAGAATCGTGGAGATGAATCGTTACGACTTCCACAATAAGTTTAAGATGTTAGGGGATAAATTGTTACGACTCCTCTAACTAAGTTTAAGTTTAAGGAAAGCATGGAGGGGCTCTCATACGTATGAGTTGTGCAAACAGACTAGCTAATGAGGGTGTTATAAACGCGTTGCTACGGATCGGGAAATCGTCGGAATCGACAAAGCAAGAATAAGAAAGCGAGAATTGAAAAACACAGACACACTATTTACGTGGTTCACTAACACGATGTGTGTTAGCTACATCCACGGGCGAGAGAGAGCTAGTTTCACTATATCGAGGAGATTACAGATTACAGAGGAGTATGAGAAGTATTTATAGTACTTCTCCATGTGGGTCTAAACCTAATCCAATATGACAAAGAAAACAATTACAGACCAGGCCCAGAACCCGAACCCAAATAACATTGAGCCCATACACCGTGGGCCAGGGGCGTTGCCCCCGCACCCCCACCGGGGCGTTGCCCTTGGACCCCACTCGTTGACCGGTCAGCGAGACCCCCGATTACCAGTCGTAGCGGCTGATAGTCCGATTCAAGTCACATCAACAGAGGGATCCCAGTGTTGGTCAGATATTTAAGTCGAGATTTGAGTTTTAAGAATGGAGAGCAACATTAACTCCCATACAGTTTTAAGAGTTGGAAGTATAAACAACTTCCACCAATTTAAGTGTCTTAAGTCAAGTACTCAAGTATCAAAATTTTCTAAACGTAAGGAAGTATACTGACCCCCACGAGATCAACCAGTTAGAGGAGAGAAGCACGAGCGTCACTGAAGATGTCTGAGAAACGAATCTCAGTTAGCAGCAACATGAACTTTCTAGTTATTATATTTTATGATTATGAGTATAGATTGGAGATTAAGATTAAGATTAAGATTTTATGATTTGCCCAGTGTTAAAGGCTTTATTTTAAGTTATAACAGTGTAACTTCAACTTATTTTAAACAATGTTATTCTTCTCTTTAAAAATTTTAAGTATTCTCCACAGCAAAACAAATATTTAATGGTTTCAAATAGTGTGATGTTACAGAGAATCTGTTGGGCTTCATCGGTGACATGACAAGAGAGGAACACCAGGCGGGGGGACTCATCGGCGGCGAGGCGGACGATCCGATCTTACCAGACGGGTTCATGGACTTTTTGCTTCGTCTGGATGAGGAAGGCGTCATTCCATGGTATTCACGGATTGAACTTATGAAGAGGGCAAAGTGTACGCAGTAGCTGATTCACACTGAAAGACGGATCGTACATGTCGATGAACTTCTTGAAGAGGGCAAAGTGTACGCAGTAAGATATATTTGCACAATGAGTAAGGGTCCTTTGTTAGCTTATTATTCCCAGTAAAACCCTAACTAATTTGTTCATTTGTGTTCTTGGATAGTATGGAGCCGTGCAGGATAGTCGAACAACTCTTCAGACAACTTATTCTTTGGAGAGATGTTGTCGTCTAGGCGAGCTCGATGAGTAAAGGTTCTTTCTTCTTTTTTCCTCGACAAATCATGTTTATTAAGTCTATTAGGCTTACAATTCCTTTGTTAACTTCCAAAGGGCTAAGAGGCGTGCAGACAATACTCTCGGTACCTTCGATGAGGTAATCCAATTCATGGAGTTTGTGTTTTTTTCCCGGCTTAAAAGTTAAATCACTCGATTCTTATATGTTGTTTATCCACTGCAGCTTTTCGAAATGCTCTGAGATACTAGCTGAGGTTCGGATGGGGAAATACATTTGTTTGGCTTGATATAGATACATGCTTTTTTTTCTTCTTCTTCAGTTGCTCTGAGAAACTAGCTGAGGTTCGATGAGGACATGATTTTGTTTGGCTTGATATGGATACGGTTTTTTTACTTATGTTCTGTGGTACCGGGTCAGCCTATTGTATAAATGAAATTTTCACATTCCTCGTGTTAGTATTGTTTCTTGAGTTATTCCTTTTATTAGTGAGCTAGTCTAAACATGCGTGGTTTGGCAAATCTAACGAAGGAAGTTAGCCTTTTGATCCGTTCTTGGTGAACTATGTATGCACCAATCATCCAGCACATAGCCACAGACAGATTGTTTAAACCTGGGATTCTAACCAACATGTCATCTCATAAGCTATGCTTTCGCTGGGCTTTTATCATTTTATTAATCTGCGCAATATATGAAAATAGGTGACTTCCTCACTCTCGACTCCATAAATATACAACACAATACCATGATATTCATGTCATATACATATCACATCGCCGTCAGGAGGATCCCACTAACAGACAGCGAGAGAGGAAAACTTTATTACTGTAACAAAAACTCCCTGCTAGTCCCTACCCGACATGGGCGTCGACCAAAAAGGGAGCGAGGTGGCACTCCAAAATGGCTAACGGCTCTCCCCCTTCACCCACCTCCACTACGACAATCCCCCGAGTTGCCCTCTGAGGCGCCACGAGCTTCAACCCACTCCCAGTAAAGAGGGAGGTAGGCGATCGCCACTCGAAGTGGACTGGAAAGATCTCTCAAGCTTATGGGGAAAGTTAGTAAAATACGGTACGAAAAAGTTACGTATAAAATAAGTACGGGTATTTTATTTTGTCTCTAGGATAATATTACGTTTAATAGTACGTTGATAGTTATAAATATATAAAATTATTTATTTTTAAAAATAAATAAATAAAAAATAGTAAATTTAATAATTTAGTTCATTAAATACGGATATTAAACGTGTTATACGAGTTTTATACGTGTTTAATACGGAAGCCGTCAAATGAACGAAAACAAATGAAATGACTTAATAATAATATGGATAAGGAAGTTTTTAACGGATAAAATACGTATAGGTACATATCCGTGTATTAAACGAAGTATTTACTAACTATTTCCTGCATTCTCATAACCATTGAACTTCGGGAACTAGATGGTCGGTGGTTTAACCCTGAACACAAGATTGTCATCCCCATCATAACACCTAAACATGTTTCTATCATTAGGAGACTCGATGGTAAGGTTGGTCTTACAAAAAAAAAAAAAAGTAAAATGTTGCGAACGGAAAATCACATCGGAAAATTATTATTTGTCTCTCTAACTAATTTGAATTTATTGTCCTAAAACATACGAAATAATCCAAATACTCTTGTTTTATTTTTGGAGTAGTGAATACCGATAACTTACAAGCAACTTAGTCAATCCTTAATCTTATAAGTAAGTCAAATGATAATCGTTTTAAAACATATACCTGTTTGTAATGAATCAACCCAATTCGAACCGAACCATTAGTTCGACTCTCCATTCTCCTTATTTTGACCAGATCAAGCCAGCCGACCAACCAGTGAGCTCCATGTGGCCCCACTAGCCATCCCATTTTCATATTAATTACAATAGTAATAAAATATCCTTCTTCCGGCTTCCATTTCTTCGTTAATATTCTTCTAGATCACTCTCTCAGATAATTCCGGGCATAAATCTCCCAAATCCCTGACCTTCTTTAGGGTTTCGGATTTCCGTTCTAGCAAGTATCTTCCATCGCATCCTCTGCGTCGATTGTTTGGCGTCAATCATCGCCATCCTTGTGGCTTGTATCTGCAATTCCAAGAGGTGCGTATGGCTTTTGATCCTTCTGCATCGTGTTTGTTGTTGATCATTCGAATTGCTTGAATTCACGAGGTTGTTCTTCATTTCAGGAAGGGTTTTGCCATTTCTGCCGTATAGTGAATTGGGAATTGACAATTTGGTCTTGGGTCGAGGAGTGATCCATAATTGGGGCGGTTTCCTTCACGTGGTACTGGAATGGCGGTTTATTGCTCTTGATCTCGGTATAAGGACGGTTTCTCTTCATACTTAGTCATGGATTCGGTGGATAACTCTGATGATGCCCTTGATTTGGTGGGTGATGGTGGATTGACTACGAATGCAGCCAGCACTTCTACACGTAGTGTGGAGAATGTAGGAGATGGGAATGGAAAGCTTGAGGCTAACGGGTTGTGTTTAAATGCTGCTCATGGGTCTGAAACTAGTGGGAATTTTGATGGCATTGCTTTTCGCAATGGTGGAGTTGCCGAGGAAGGTATTGGGAGCAAGCAAGTAGGGAGTTCATCGAATTCATCCCCTAGATTGTCATTGTCTCCTGCTGCAGGGACATCTCCTACTATGAAAGGCTACGGTTTGAAGAAATGGAGGCGAATTAGGAGAGATGTGGTTAAGGATCGTAGTGGTGGTATGGATAGTGGCAAAGCTATGAAGAGGGGGTTGTCCGGTTCTGGTAATCCGGTCAGACAAGGTAATCTCGCGTCATCGATGGGGGGTAAGCTATCTAATGAGATTTTTATTGGTTCTGTTGGAGGAAATGGTGTTCCTGGGTCTAGTTCGGACTCTAGGTTTGCGGTTGGTTCTGCTTTTGCTGCTGGTGCAGACTCCGAGAATAGTATTAGTGACGACCAGAGTAGTAAGTCGTCAACTGCAGCCAGTGCTCCAAGAACAAGGAATGACCTTGCTGGTGGATCGGGTAATGGGTGGGAGAAGAACAGAACCAAACCTTTGACTGCAAAGGTTGCTGTAATCTCGGCTCAACGTGGTCAACTGGGGAAGGGGCATGTGGAGAGTAGTAAGAAAGCCAGAGGAGAGAGGGCCAAGATTGAGAAAGAAAGCTCTCAGTCCAGCTTGGAATCTGATTCACGAAGCTCCAACTTTGTTTTTACTCAGGGTCTTTACTCAGTTACCAGCAATGGAAAGCAGAGTGAAACATCATTGAATGATGATGAAGAGAATAGTTATGAAGCACGTGCAGGTGAGCGTCAAGGTAGTGAGGAAATTCACACCGGCTATGATCATGAGAGTGTTGAAGAAGTTGGATACCGTTCTCAAGATGGTTCAGCAGTAGATGCATCATCACAGAATAAGAATGAGAAAAGTGAGAAGAACCACCCTTTGAAAGAGAAGGATCCTTTAGTCGAATCCATGTCTCTGTTGCAATCTGTGCAAGAAGCCCTTGAAAGTGGTGAGTCTTTCTTCTCCCAACTGAATAGCTTTTTGTATCTACTTTTTGACTATTCGCTATAATAGATGTATGTGTTTCCCATACACATGCACGCTGCACAGACATGCATATGTCTGGACACATGAACATGCTTGCTATGTGTATGTGCCTAAATACTAAAAGATCCTTAGAGCTGAGGGTGGCCTTATTTAGTTTGTTAATACGCTTATGGAGTAGTTCATCAATGATACTAGATTTGAAATCATTTTAATTTAAAGTACATTAACTTCAGATTTTGTTGCTTTAAAACTGTTTTTCATCGCAAAGATTTTTTTACTCTCACTTCTGTTTAAGAAGATATAATTTTGAAGTCCTTAGTTGATACTAGCTGCTTTGCTGACATTTTGCATCTGCAGCTTCATAAATTTGTTTCTAGCAGCCTTTCATTGTAGGATTTAGGGATCAGGGAAATCTGTTTCCGGGAATTGCTGTAGTGATATTAGATGATTTGTATTTTGTTTCTGGTGTTAGTTTAGTACTTTGGATTTTCGAGCTTAAATTCCATCTCCTTTGTATTTTGTTTCTGGTGTCTGTCATAAGTTTTAGTTTTAAAGATTCATGAGAAGATAGAAAAAGGCCAGAACCAGCTTAGGTATCATCTGAATGGCCTAGTTGTTTACATGCGCAGGATGCATCAGTTAATTGTTGCATCTTGAGCAAGTTGCAGACATCCATTTTGGGGGATGATCTTGATGTTGGTAATATTCTATGCTAAGCTAACCTGCATGTGCTTGATGAATAACCCCAGAAAATTGCTTCCTTTCCAGTTACCATGGGCTCGAAGCAACATTGATCTGGCCTCACTCATTATTTTACATGAATATATGCCTTTTAGAATACGATTTGAAAAAAGCACACATCTTTGGTTACATTTATGATGACTTTTTATGCTCTTGCAGAGATTCAAAAACTGGGGGAGATTGGAAAGATCAGCAGCTACCATACAGATCCTCCTCAGACAGATCCAGAAGTTTCTTCAAGCCCATTCTCCCGGTTTGAAGCTGAAACCGTTGCAATGTTATCCGAAAATGTAAAACATCTAGAAAGCAGGCTGAAGGAGGCATTGACAATGCTGTGCGCAAAGGAGGCCAGGGTTGCTGAACTAGAAGACACCTTGCAGCGTGGCAGGTCAGAAAGTCAACAAACAAGTACCACCGAGACAGAGATTGAGGCTATGTTCAAGCAGAAGCTGGAGGCTGAGGTCCAGTGTCTGGCATTAACAAAGACACTAGAGCATTCTACACCTGGAGAAATGGAAGCCCGAATTGGGGAGCAAGAGCAAATGGTGCTAAAGCTCAGGCAAGTAGAAAGCAAGGCTGAGGAGGTGAAGCGAGGCGTGGAAGAACTGGAGAAGTACAGTGAGGAGGTTTTGGGTGCAGAGAAGGAGGCATCGGAGATTCGTCAGGGGTTGTGCAAAGCTGCTTCTTGCTTCTCGATCCAGTTGATGCTGCTGATCTTGGTGGTTTTCTTCGTGATTTCGCAGCTGTCTCCCAATGCTGCCGTTGTACCTACATGAGGAATTGCCTGCTACAACAATATGGGTGGACAGGACAGGGCCTGGTCTGGTTCACGATCAAGTCGGAATCAGTATAGGACTTGGGTCATTAATAGAGGGAAAAGAACCAGTTCAAAAGCACTTTCAATCTAATCCCGTACGGTCTATCCTTTCCTGTATGGAATCAGCACCCAAAAACATCATCCTGCAAAATCAGATCAGATTGGGTTGTACTTTAAACTGGTCGGTTTTGATTCGGCCCTGTGTTCAACACTCTAAGAGCAGGCCTGGTTTTCTTCTTTTTCTCTCTTCTGTGTAATCTCAGCCGTAGCATTTCCTTTGGTAGAAGGCTGAATGGATGTGAATGGTCACAGATTCAGTGTCTAATTACTCGGTTGAGTTGTAGGGATGGCTACTTATTTGTTATATTTTTCTAATGGGGATGGGAGAAGAGCTTGGGGGAGAGGGTCTTTGTGTTGGGTTTGTTCAGTTTTGTAACAAAGAAACTAATTTTAGGGATGATTCTGTACTGCTCCTCCTAGCTTTGGTATCTTTGTTTGTGATTGTTGTTGTTTCATTGCAATGGAGTAAAGACTAAAGAGTACACAAAGTTTTGGAATCCCTTTTGTAAGACTAGAACCAGCTATATCTTGGAAGACTGGTCAATAATTACTCAATCTGAATGCACCAACCGAACCAAGGCAGGAACTAGGCTTGCCGAGTTGGACTTCTAGCCACATATGGGCTGGTTGCTGTAATGGGCCGACTGGGTGCTGCGTCGTTGGCACCGGCAGGCGGCAGCACTACAAATTGTATCCAGAGTTATCTAGTGGGAAAAAACAAAACAAAAAAGTCCTTTTTTCTTTTTCTTTACAGCACATGCGTATTAATTGTGACACCGCCCACCGCGTCTCCTTCAGTCCTTCTCTCGGTCCTCAATAAATTTCCGCCATTTTCATTTTTCACACCAATGCGATCATCTTTAGTCTAGACCGAGTTCCGTCTCTTCTTTGACTCGCCGATCCGAAGCAACGATTTTAGGTAAGACCTACTGCAACTCACCTCTCCTATCTCTTCCGCCGTGTTTCCTTTTTGCGATCGTTTTTCTCTTTGTTCTAGCTGAATTTTGATCGGATCCCCCTCTGAGCTGATTCCAGTATGCGATGTACTTCCATACCCTTTAGATCTAGTCTGGATACTGATATCCGTTTCTATGCGTTCGTGATTCTGTAACGTATATGATGTGTGTTTGAGTGAGGCGTCTGATTTTTTTTTTTTTTTTTGTTGAGACATGACAGTCGATCAGGGAGTGATGCTTTTTTCCCTGATTGTTGGATAGGATGTGGAAATGGGGAAACTAGGAAGGGGTCTTGGGGATAGATGGTTTATGTTAGGTGTTAGCGGTTGTTCTGGTGAATGGAGGAATGACCATGTTTGCTGCTTGCTTTAGGAAGGTATGTCGTCTTCCGATAAGCCCGAGAAGGTTGACAGAGGGACCAAGGAGGAGAAGGATGATAAGGAGGAAGGTGGTGGATTCATGGACAAGGTGAAGGATTTCATACAGGACATTGGGGAGAAGATCGAGGATGCAATTGGGTTCGGGAAGCCAACTGCTGATGTGACTGCGATTCACCTGCCTTGCATCAACCTCGACAAGGCGGATATAGTGGTCGATGTGCTTATCAAGAACCCTAACCCCGTCCCGATCCCTTTGATCGATATCAACTACTTGATTGAGAGCGATGGGAGGAAGCTGGTCTCGGGGTTGATCCCCGATGCTGGTACCATTCATGCTCATGGCGAGGAGACTGTAAAGATACCGCTCACTTTGATCTATGATGACATCAAGAGCACGTATAACGATATCGAGCCTGGAAGCATTATCCCGTACAGAATCAAGGTTGATCTGCTTGTCGATGTGCCTGTGTTTGGGAGACTGACTCTGCCACTGGAGAAAACGGGAGAGATCCCTGTGCCATACAAGCCTGATGTTGATTTGGATAAGATAAAATTCGAGAGCTTTTCGTTTGAGGAGACTGTTGCTGTGCTGCATGTGAAGATAGAGAACTTGAATGACTTTGACTTGGGTCTTAATTCGCTGGACTGTGAGATTTGGCTGTCTGATGTCAGCATTGGATGTGCTGAGCTAGGAAAGTCAGCTACCATTGCTAAGAAGGGAATAAGTTATGTCGATATTCCTATCACCTTCAGGCCCAAGGACTTTGGCTCTGCGCTCTGGGACATGATCCGGGGAAAGGGTACTGGATATACGTTGAAAGGGAATGTCCATGTGGACACTCCTTTTGGGGCAATGAAGCTGCCAATAAGTAAAGAAGGTGGCACGACTAAGCTGAAGAAGAAGAAAGAAGATGGTGGTGATGATGATGATGATGATGAGGTATGCTTATGTCTTTTTCTTGATTTTTATTTTTTATGCAGTCTCTTAAGTCTTAATCCAAAGTAGTGAGCTAGTCTCTTAAAAAGTTATGAACCCCGTGTTTCAAATGAGGCAAAGATGAACGTTTGGCTCACCAACCAGCTCCATTTCGGTTTTCTGTCCTCCTTTGATGCTCCTAAATTGTGTTCTTTGACTTTCACATTGTCCACTAGCATCGAACCTTTTCCTCAGACGTGTGTAATTATACTTCTCAAATCTTTTAAAAGAGCTGTGTCATGTAATGAACAGCTCGATGAAGCTGCTGAAACCGATCTTAGTTGTGGATCTTGCACCTCTGGATAGAATAATAAGGCTAACTATGGCTTTGTGTGCATCAAGTTCTAGACCCTGCATGTAGCTGATTCATGCATCGTGGATTTCATTCTGATCACTTTCTATTTTTTTCTAGTCTTACCCTCTTGTAAAACAGCTTATGAACATTGTCTAGCAGAGAGGGCCTTTGTGTCTTTCTATAAGCCTTTGCCTCAATCACTCTCTTCTCTTGGTTCCAGCAGATGTTATGATGTCCCTCAGGTTGATCAGACCTTCATCCTCTGACTGTTGTACTATTTGAACTTGGTTGCAGGACTAGGAAAAGACATCGCTCGCTAGTCGCTACCGTGTGCCCGGGTGGGGATCGAGTTGCTGTGTGGGGATTTAGGGTTTGAAACAGAATAATATATGCGTTTTGAATGCCATTTCGTTTGCAATTAGAGTGATGGACCATGACTGGGTTGTGTGCTTCTTATTGTTAGTAACATGACCACTCTTCCTACCTGTAACATTTATGCCTATGGTTGAACCTTTGTACTAGCAAGTAGCGATGTCCTTGTGAAACTTTACTCTTGTGATCAGTTTTCTCATCTCGTGGCACCATTTCAATTTGTTTTACTATCTTTGCCATAGTGAATGAAGTTCATTAATATTAGACTGTAAGATCTTGAGTTAAGATTTCTCATTTTACAGCTGAGACAAAAAAAAAAAAAAAAAAAAAAAAATAATTTATGCAGTTAAATCGATCGCGCGCATATTCACTTATTTTGTATGCTAACATAATCTACTCTTTCATCCAATCTGATTTGTCATTCAATCAGTCTTTTCTTGTCATCATTCAATTTACAAAGCAGCTGGATTTTCCATCTGCTTACCAGTCAATTACACCATTTCAGTTCTGTGCCTGAACTGGGTTTCCCTTCTCATTACAAACAATGCCTAAAATGCTCGTAAGTGAGCAAGCTTCTTAAAGCAAAGTTCAAAACTTTTCCCAAACTGGAATTCTAGCCTGCTACTATGACTTCTGATGAACAAGGAAAAAGGAACTCTATAATCTGTCAAAGTGGCATGCTATTTCGTTTCTTACCCGCCATAATTGCAACCTTCTGATTCGTCCCCTGCAAGAGATTCTGTTACTGTGGGAAATTGATTTCAGTCTTCCCAAACTGTTGATAAGAAACCTGCAAAGTATCAAGCTAGGTCGATAAAGCTGAACTGAGACACTCCATAACTAGCAAGCTCTTGACTCTCACACTCTCTCTCTCTCTCTATAAAGAGGTAGCAGTCCCTCCAAAAGATGAAGAAACAGAGCAAAGGGTCAGAGTGAGCTGTAAGGAGTAAATCCCCCTTCTTTCTTCTCCTTCTTCTTCCTCTCCCGCATTCTCTCCTGTTTTCCATTCTTCTTCCAAAGTATTTCCAAACTCTCTACCGCTGGGGGAGAAAAGACTCGACGGGAAAATGGCTGCTTTTCGTCGGACCTTCACCGGAGAAGATGACGAGAACCTCCCGCGGGTTCAACCACTTCATCAAGGAGCTCTGCCCTGAAGCCATCCTGACCAAGAAACTGGTAATCCCCCTTTTTTCTCTCTTACCCAAAAAATTAGTCCATTCATCTTACTCAACGAACCCGCAACTTGATTCCATGCTCTGTTTTTCTTTTTTCTTTTTTCGCTTTTCCCGGCGAACGCCTTGCAGATGCTTCCTCGGAAGTTTGTCAAGACGGTGAGGGACGAGCTTTCTCGTGAGGTGTGTCTGGAAGCGCCAAACGGCAGAATCTGGATCATTGGGTTGACCAGAGAACCCGGTGACAGAAACATAGTGTGGCTCGACTCTGGATTTGGTGAGTTTCTGAGCTTTTACTCCATCGGCGCTCGCCATTCTCTGATATTCAAGTACCGTGGCGGCTCCCATTTCCAAGTGGTCGTCTGCGACAACACCGCCTGCGAGGTTGCGTATACCGCGGAAGTACTTCCTGTGTCTTTCGGTGAGGAAGATGGCAGCGACGACCCCGAGTTTGACGGCGAAGAGGCCGATGGAGAAGAAGAAGAAGAAGAAGAAATGGACGGCTTTCTGTCCATTTTAGCAACCCAGAAATCCCTTCTGTTCTGGTCGTCATGAAGAAGCTCCACATTGTTCACCGCCAAATGGTTAGTACTATACACTCTCTGTTTGTGGTTACTCGACAATGCAAAAAGAAGAAGAAAAAAACACTCATTTAGTTTACTAATATGATGTGTTAGCTAATTCACGCCTTTGTCGAATTTGCGCAGTACCTCCCTCTCGAATTTGCCGATAAGTACTTCCCTGAAGATAGAGTAATGGTGAAGCTGCGTGCTTGTTGCGAGGAGGTCGAGGGGTTTTTGAATGAAACGCAGGTTGTTGCCGAAAGAGACAATCATAATACCTTGTATTTAAGACGAAGGTGGGGCGAGTTTCGCACCAACAACGACTTGCACGAGGGAGACGTGTCCCTGCTGCAACTCGTCGATGTGAAAGACAAGATCTTCAATGTTTATGTTTTTAGGGCTTGATGAGGAGGGGGGAGGAATCTGGTAGAGACTTGGAGTTGTTTACTTTGCTGTATTCAAATCTTTACTTTACCCGAGCAGCCATGGATGCTTGCCCCATGTGTGCAATGAGCTGTTGTTTTTCATGATTTATGTTCTGAAATGGATTCAATGTGAAACCAGCTTATGTTTATAAGGAATGAACATCTTTGACAGTGAATACCCATTTCCTATATATCACCATGGCACAATTTCCAGCTCCCTGCTTCTTGGTAACATTGCAGCAGCAATGAACCTTGGAGATTAGACTACCTTTACTCCAGACATAGCCAGTTGCCGCGAGATCTCTTCGAGTATCTTACATTTCGAAGAAGGATCGAACTGCTGATGTTCACAACCCTTCGTCCATCTCTACATAGTAACAATGTTCATTCTCTGTGTTTAATTCTGTAACCCTTTACATCTCCCTCTCTTGTATCATATAGTCAACGTACGATTGCAGAAAAAACCCATATAGGCAAATTCAACAAATCATCAGCGTGCAACTCTCCGAAGGTCCTATGAACTTCAATGAGGATCAATCTTGCTTCCGCCATAGCTGCAGAATTAACCGAAGCCAAGCAGTAATCGTCCAAATCGGCAGAGTCCAATGCACAAAGAACCAGAGACCCGACGACCTCCGGTCGATTCTCCCAAGTTTACAATCGGACGCTGGAAATTCAGCTACCGAACCCATTCTTGAATCCAAATCGCAATTGGATGGTGGAATTTTGCCGCAATTCATGAATGCACTGTGTTCTCTGTTGTTTCCCTGCGTTTCTATGCGATGGTCATCAGGATTTCCGTCCTTTTTCTCATTTATTTCTTGATACAGAAGAGGCCAATTCATCACCGGGTCAACATATCGTGAAAAAGTCAAAATATCACGTAAATATCGCGATATTTTATAATATCGCGGTATCTCGTCAATTTCAATTTCTCGTCAATTTATCGCGTTTCGATTTTGGTTTTGAGGACTCGAAACGTTTCACGTTTCGGGCGTTTTTGTTACCCGTTTTTGCAATTTGCTGGGGTATCCGGTTTTTGTGCGCCGTCCGCCTACCTCCCTCCCGAAACGCCGGCGGATTTCTGTTTTCTGGGCCTTCGATTAAAAAGAGAGGAACCCTTTTGGGCCTTCATCTGACTGAAGCCCACGTTTTCCAAGGCAGTCCGCCTACCTTCCGACAAAAACGGCGCCGCATTCTCTTTCCATTGCGCCTTCATTTAAATAATGAAGAAGCGTTTTGGGCCTTTGTCAAAACCGAAGCCCATGTATACCCGCGCCAGATTTTCGAATCTGCCGCCACTCCTCCCCTGTTTTCCCCTTCGCCGTTGGGACCTTTGCTTGGAATCTTGGACGAGGATTCTGTCTTTGTTCTTCTTCGCAGAAGAAAGAGAGAAGGGAATCACCAGAAGCTTAACCTCCCCTTGTCCATTCCCAATTCTTGAAATCCCGATTCTGGAAATTTCCGTCTGCTGTTCCAGTTAAGGGCCGCAGACTCTGTTTTTATCACTTGGGTTCTCAGTTACCGTCGGCCAATACCCAACTGCTTCCGAAGCAGAAGAAGGCATCGCCGCCTCTCTTGGCCGGCTGTAAATCTTTACGCCTCGTCCATAAACGCCGATGATGAAGGAAAGCGGATTCGGGGTTCCATCTTGAATCCGCAGACGAACCGGTTTCCGCGAAACGTTTCGGGAAACTTGGTAATGCATATAGAGAAGACGACAGTTGGGTAGTGCGAATCGAGAAGCCGGCCATTCGATGGGTACTTATAGAGAGTATAATTGATCCCTCGTTGATTTTTGGAAGTGCAATTTCAGCCCTTCTGTATCTACAGACTACAGATCGTGTATATATTTGCAAAAGTGACAAGTGTTTATTACTGTCCTTGCAGCCTTTACCGTGGCATCAATCTGATCTCGAATCGAGGAGAGAAATGGCTGGAGCGGAGAGGAAAGAGGGTTGTAGAGTGATTAGGCTCATTTGCTGAGATCCTTCGACGGTGAATGACAACGGCGGAGGCGACGACCTGGTAATATGGCTTCTCAAGTTTCCACCTCGACCACCAGCGGCAGTTTTGCCAACAGAGCGTCGGTGGCTCCGTGGCTGGCAATAATCGATCTTTAAATTTTAATCGCGGGCAAATGATGCATTATTTTCCCGTAAATTCTCATGTTAAGTGTTAAGCGTTGTATAATTGCACAATGCGAGAAACTCGAAACGAAATGGATGATAAAAAAAAAAATAACGATTTGAAGCTCGGCCACAATCTTCAAGCAATAGCTCTCGTTGTTTGGTCCTCATTTGTGATTCTGTTCGGTTAGATGGGAGTTTATTGTTGCAGCTGAAGATGAATAAACACTAAGGAAAGCTGATTGCAGCCTTTAGGCAAGAGAACTAAAATGGCACCAGCTACTAGTTAATATACAATTATAGCGAAATTCGAGTCCCCTTGCAGTTGCAGAGGGTGCCTTCACCCTTTTCTTAGCTGTTGTTGCTCTCTGTTTCTCCATACATATTACAGCAGGCTCAACAGTACAACCATCACAGTAGAAAACAACAAATAGGTGCCTCGCTGGCGCTGTATATTACATCGATGTCATATATGTACGCCATCGCCATTAGGAGATCTTACTGTGACACAGGGAGAGAGAAGGGCAAGCCTTATTGATGTTGTTGTTGTTGTTGTTGTAGAAGAAGAAGAAGCTCCTGCAAAATCTCTACCCGGCATTGATGTTGACCAAAAATGGAGGGAGGTGGCGCTCCAAAACGGATAGCAGCTCTCTCCCCTGACCCACCTCCACCAACGACACTCCCCCGAGCCTCCTAGCAGCCTCGACGAGCTGGCCTCTGAGCCGCTGAGAGAACAAACAGCCCCCGGCCTGCAGGCACTCCCTGTAGAGAGGGAGGTAGCCGATCGCGACTCTAAGAGGGCCTGGGAGATCTCTCAAGCATATGGAAGAACCGCCGCGGTCCAGGATCCTCAGCAGATTCATGTAATGTTCGCTTCCTTGCTTCAATCCATCGGAGTAAGCCGCCTCGGACCAGTTCTCGAGGAGGAAGGACTTGAGATCGGGGGCCACTGCCTCGTCCTCGGACGACCTGGCGATGCTGTCGGCCACAGCGTAGGTGGCGGCAGGGTCGCCTAGGAAGTCGGACTGGAGTAGGAAAGCCACACCATCCAGGGACCCACCGCTCCTCTCGCCAGCGGCTTTTAAGATCTCGATGCTGAGGGCAGCGAGCACGTGCTGGGGGACATGAGGGAGGAGGTACGCTGCAACGTCAACCTGGCAGCTGGACGTGGCAGCAGTGAGGGCGAGGCAGAGCTCCATGTCGCGGCAGCCTCGATCTACATACCACTGGACGACTTGCATGCAGCCTCTCTCTGCTGCTCTCATCAATGGGCCCAGGAAGGCTATGGCATTGCCTTCTTCGACAAGGCACTCCATCGTGCCAATTTTTTCGTAGTGGGAGGCAAAGCCGAGGGCTAGGTCCACGTCTACGTCCAAGCTGTTCCTCTGGGCAATCTGCAAAGATGGTATTCAAGAGAAGACAGCAAAAATTGTGTAGCAGAAAACATCAGAGCCGCGAACTTAAAAGGGATTGTTGGGAAATATCCCTAGCAAATGCAGTAGAATTCAACTAAAAAATGGTCCAATAAGTCATGCAGTAAAAACCTGGGTTAATAACTACATAAATGGCCACTGAACTTCTGACAAACTGGTCACTAACTTTGACTTTTAACCAATGGGTCATTTTGAATCCCTAACATAGCATCCACTTTTCCCATCTCAATTAGATCGTCGTCCAAAAATGACCCATTGGATACTACTAAGCCATTTTGAATCCCCAACATAGTCATTTTGAATCCCTAACATAGCATCCACTAATTGAGATGTAAGCAACTTTGACTTCTAACAATTTGGCTGGGAAATCCAATTTACCAGTCGGATGGTTAGTAGCATCAAAGTTCAGTAACCATTTATTCACTCATTCGTACAGAAATGCTTGGAATAGAGTTTCCATATCAACCAAAATGTAATATTTACCTGCAACAAGATACGGACGAGTTCTGTACTCCCAAAACGGGAGGCTTCCAGGAAACACTGGTTAACATTGTCAGCACCACCTTCAACTAACATCCCCAACAGCCCTTGGATTGCAGTAGCTGAGATCCCAGAAGCCCAGCCTGGATCGAACGAACTCGAGAACAAAGTAAGCGGAAAACAGGCAGCATCAAAGGCCTCCGTAAAATCTTTGCCTGTGAGCTGGTTGCCAGCAAGATCAAGAAATATCTTGAATGCTGATAACTGAAGCTGAATCTCGACAGCTGAGCTGTGATTAACTTTGCCCATATTTCCCTGGCAACGAGAATGGAAACCAATACATTTCAGGGCCCATTCGGTGAACTTTTGAACCTTTGCACCAGCTTCTGCCTTCAGAACTTCGTCGCCATTGCATTCCTGGAGTCGCTCATGCAGCCTGATAAAATGGAAAAAGCAAGTGGTACATCAGAATACGCACAATAATGCAGAGTAACATTTGCTATGGATATTGGTAAAACTGACTAGTTACATGCAACTTATCAAACGAAAATACAAATAGCAAGATATGTTTTGTTATATGGACACCTTCAGTGAAAACTTAAGGTAGAGCTCATTTGAGCAAAATAATGGCTACATGATGCAAGGCACTAGAACAGGACACTAAGTTCATATAACCAACCAAGCACCTCCTACTTGTACGGGTCCTCTTATGAACTGGCTCAATCAAACAATGAACAGCTCAGCATTTACCTTCGAAAGCATAAGTGAAAGAATGTGGAAGGAAGATTCAAGAACAATTATTAGTATCAGGGAAGTGGAAGAAATTCAAAGAATGCATACAGCTCATGTGAATAGGATGTTGAGCATAAACAACAACTCACAATCTATAGAGAACTAAGGATTTAGATACTTCAGGAGCTAGGCATGCATCAACAATCTCACCGATTGATTACATGTATCCTAGACATGGACGTAAGAGGAGATGTAAACAACTATCTGCCAATGCAATCAAGAAAAGGCATACTAATTACGATAACAAACAGTAATCTCCAAATATATGACATGGCCTAAATAAGATTCTAAAAGGATAACAAACAGTAATATCGAAAGGTGTTTGTTTAGTCAGTAATCATCCTCATCCCAAGAAGTTTTCCATAAATTTCCAGGCGAAGATCCAACTCAGCTTTAGCTTCTAGTTCTACGTTCATCAAATCATTTAAGA